TGCAATCAACTCTCCATTGAACACGTGTTATACACAAGTGCTGTCCAAACTCCCAAGCCCTTACCCTAAGTTTTCTCATCAAATTCTCCCCCCACAACCCAGTGAAGTCAGCCCTGTGACTGTCTCCATTCTACAGATAAAGAAACTGAGGTCTAGAGAGTCCAAGAGATCAGCCAGTTAAGAGGAGGCAGAACACAGAATTCTAAACCAGCCTGGGTGAGCCCAGAGCCTTTATTCTTTTTTTTTTTTTTAATGTTTATTTTTGAGATAGAGTGAGACAGAGCATGAGCAGGGAAGGAGTAGAGAGAGAGACACACACAGAATCCAAAGCAGGCTCCAGGCTCTGAGCTGCCACCACAGAGCCTGATGCAGGGCTCAAACCATGAGATCATGACCTGAGCGGAAGTCGGACACTCAACTGACTGAGCCACCCAGGCACCCCAGAACCTTCATTCTTAATTAGGGGTCTTCTCAGACAGTGGTGTCTGTCTTTGAAGTAGGGAAATTCTTTTTTGTTAGTGTTATTTATTTTTGAGGGTGGGGAGGGGCAGAGAGAGGGAGGGGGAGAGAACGAATCCTGAGTATGCTCCACACAGAGCCCGATCTCACAAACCGTGAGACTGACTAAGCCACCCAGGTGCCCCTCTAGTGGGGAGATTCTGATCAGGGCTAATGACTCAACTTTTCAGTGCCTCCATTTTCTCCTAATAAAATGGAGATAATAGCAACAATAAGAGAACCTAGCCCAGGGGTGTCACCAGAAGGAAATGAGTTAACACGTGTAAACCATCCAGAGCCGCACCATCCAGTACAGGGATCGCTGGCCACGTGTGGCTATTTACATGGTAATTCATTAACATTACAGAAAGTTAAAATTCAGTTCCTCCGTGACGTGAACTACATTTCAAGTGCTCAGTAGCTTCACATGGCTAGTGATGACCATTTTGGACAAGTGCAGATAGCAAGTTGCCATCACCTGTCAGCACTGGGTAGAGCAAGGCCTGGCATGAAGCAAACCTCAAGAGTGTTATTCATCCTAGATCATTAGCCATTATGATTATACTATTATCATATCTATTACTTTTAATCCTGTTCTAGTCTGTTGTTATTTTTTATTTATTATTTTTAATCTTATAACTATCATTAGTCCTGTAACTGTAACTACAATTATGTTATTATACTACATTTAGTTTTGTTTGTTTGTTTTTTTATGGGGTGCTTGGGTGGCTCAGCGTCTGACTCTTGATTTCAGCTCAGGTCATGATCTCCTGGTTCCTGAGAGCAAGCCCTGAGCCAGGCTTCTCATTGACAGTATGGAGCCTGTTTGGGATTCTCTTTCTCTCTCTCTCTCTTTCCCTGCCCCTCCCTGGCTCGTGCTCACTCCAGTGCTCTATCAAAATAAATAAACTTAAAAAAAAAAAAAGACTTTTGACCTTCATTTAAAAAAAATAAAGTTTAGAGGCACCTGGGTGGCTCAGTCATGAAGTGTCCAACTCTTGATTTCCGCTCAGGTCATGACCTCACAGTTTGTGAGTTTGGGATTCTCTCTCTTTCCCTCTCTCTGTGTCCCTCCCCTGCTCATGCATGTTCTCTCTCTCTCTCTCTCTCTCAAAATAAATGAATTAAAAAAATAAAAATAAGACGAAGTTTATTTTTTAATAATCTCTACACCCAGTGTGGGGCTCGAACTCACGACCCCTGAGATCAGGAGTCTCAGGCTTTTCTGACTGATCCAGCCAGGGGCCCCCATATTTATTATTAATCTTATTCCTATCCTAGTTTTAGTTTGTATTTATTGTTATTAATCCTGATGCCATTAGCTACTGTTGTTACTATTAATCCTAGAACTGTTATTATATTTATTGTTACTACTGACATCCTATTGTTATTTTGTATTTACTATTAATTCTGTAATAGCTAATAGTGACATTTATTTATTTGTTTGGTTGGTTGAGAGAGAGAGAGAGTGGGAGCAGGGGAAAGAGAAAGAAACTTAAGCAGGCACCACCCTGGGACCATGACCTGAGCTGAAATTAAGTGTCAGGCACTCAACCGACTGAAACACCCAGGGGCCCCCTATTATTATTTTTAATGAGACCTATTAACTGTTAATATTATTCTTTTATTGTTATCGCTTCTGTTGTTAATTCTGTACTGGTTAACTTTTGTGTTATTGTTATTACTACCAGTTGTTAATATCACGGTTAGCGGTGTTAATAAGTATTTACTAATGTTGTCAGTGGCTGCTGTTTCATTACTGTTACTAATGCTGAAAGTCTCCGGCCCCCGAACTTGGCAGGCAGTAGGCGCTCTCGCGGTCAGCGTGGGAGCAAGGGCGGTGGGACCTGCTTGCTGAGACCATCTCGCTTGCTTCGGGGGAATTCGGGGAATTCAGATAAACTTCTCATTTGGTGCCCCAGGGACCTGTGAAGTGGGAGGAGCCACCGCCAGCCAGTAGTTCAGAGCTGGGGTGCACTCAAATCTAGGGCAAGGCGACAGAAGAGGTGTTCGTTGTAAACGCTTTGGCTTTCTAAGGAAAAACAGAAACCGAGGGAGAAGTCACAATCGCTGAGAGCACTGAAATAATAAACTGGACTCTGGAGGGGACGCCGGGCGAGAAGAAATGTAGCGAGAAGGGAAACCACTTTGGGCCTCTGAGAAATCTGGCACGAGAGAAGGCTTGCACTGTGATTAAAAAGGGGAAGAACCACAAGTCTCCATTTAAGTCAGCAGAACTGCTGTCTGGGCAGTGAGAGGGAAAGTGCTTGTGGCTGGCAGATTTCAGCAACTATTTGACAACTGCTGTGTACCTGGTGCTCTGTTGGCGCAAGCTGGCAGCTGTGTGACTGCAGGCAAGTAACTGCTCTCTCTAGGCCTCAGTCTCCCCAGGTGTCGTATAGAGATACTATTATGGAGTGATCCGTTTAGGCTTCCCTAGTAGCACCTCACACCCTTCCTTGTTCAGATCCTCAGATGCTATGTGAACGTTACTGGCACACTTTCTAGTCAGTTGCCAGCTCCAGACTTTGCAATTCAAATCCAAAGCTCAACAGATCTTTCTGCTCAAAAACCCTCCGTGGCTCCCTATTGCCCTCAAGATATAATTCCCAAACTTGCCACCAGGATCCTCAAGTCTCTGTGTGATTGGCCTCACTTTCCACCTTCATCTCTTCCTATCGGTGTATTGTGGGGATCAGCACTGCCTTCTTGACCTTCCTCAAATGCACCAAACTTATTCCTACCTCAGGACCTTTGCACTCACTCTTCCTCTGGTCTGGAATGCCCTTCCAGGGCTTTATGGTGCCCAGATGCTTTTTGCTGTGGGATGGGGGGAAGGGGTAGTCTCAGCTCAGATGTTAGTTCCTCAGAGAGGTATTCCCCAAGCCTCCAGTCTAAGACAGTCCCTTTCTACTGTCTATCCTATAATTGTTTTCTCTTCCTTCTGATGCATTATCCCATTTATTTACATAATTATGGTACTTATGCTCTATGTCCCCTCACTAGAGTGTCAGCTCCATGAGGGCAGGCATATTTGTGTCTGTCTTGTTCACTGCTGTGTCTCCAGCACCTAGAACAGTGCCTGGCACACTGTAGGCTTTAACAAGTATTTGTGGAAAGCACATGTTTATTGCTAGTTCCTTCACAGTTACGGGACTTCAAGTATCCTACAGCAGACCAGCCCTGATCCCCATCTGGGTAGGGTCTGGAAATCCCCATCTTCTGGGGAACCCCTTTCTGTAGCTCCAAGGGCAGAACCCAAGCCTGATTAACAAACGCCCATGCAGCAGTGTTTTCCCTCGGGCAAAGCCCAATACTAAATACTTTAATGCACTGACTCATTTAACCCTCAGAGCAACCCAGTGGAGTGGGTACTCTTATTATTTCCATTTCATAGATGAGAAAACTGAGGTATGGAGAAGTCAAGTCATTTGCCCAAAGCTGGTAAGAGGGGGAGGCAGCGGACTGGAGGAGTATATTGTCTGGGAAGGGGTGACGAGGCTCCAGCAAGCTGGGGGCCTAATCGACTTGTTTCCTGTTGTGGAAGGAAGAAGAGTAGACATTCCTCTCTTCCCTCCCACCCCTGTGTTGGGGGAAGGGCTGGCTGAGTGCATGCTCCACCTCAGATTAGGGGGGCACTCCACTGTCAACCTCACCCCACATAAGGCCTGTAGACAAAATGAAAGCACGGGGCGGAGCAGACAGGGAGGCCCAGGGGGCATGGGTGCCAGTGGCCCGGGAGGGCTTCCTAGAGAATGATGCACCCCTGGGGCGGGGCCCGATAGTAGTGGCCCAATAGAGGTCGGTCTACACAGGCACCAACAGCGGCGAGAGCAGAACTGAGGGTGGGGACAGAACCCTAACGGTTGGGGGTCTAGGGCCGTGGCAGATCGGCCCAGCGGAGTCACGGATAGTCGGGGCCGGGCGGGGTTGGAATCCTTCCCCCGGGGGTGATGAAAGCTGTGGTCGCTATTGCACGGACCCGTCCGGAGAGTGCAGATAAGGCCTCGCAGGAGGGAGTCGCTGGGGCGCGCCCCCTCGAGGCCAAGAGACTCCGCCGGGCCCCGCCTCCAGGCCCCGCCTTTTCTCCATCTGGCCCCGCCCCCGCAGCGCTGAGGCACCCGGGGGTCGGCAGGCGCTAGGTGGGTGGGACTAAGGCTGCCCCGCCCCCCGGTCGTTCATTCCCTTCTTTAGTCCGCGGGATGCGAAATCCGGTGGGCGAGGTGTGGGCGTGGCTTTACAGAGTCCCGCCTCTTTCCAGGCTCGAGTTTGAGACCCCTGGACCCGGTCGGCCGCGGCGGAGCAGGATTGGTGGGCGGGGCCAGGCACGGCCCCGCCCTCAGGGGGCTGTACCCCTCCGGCATATCTGGCTCACGGACGGACAGGGGCGTGGTCTCGTGCAGCCCCTCCCCACCCTGGCCCCGCCCCCACCCTGGTCGCCCTCCCCCGCCGGGCTCCGCTCGCACAGCCGGTTCCTCTTTACATAACGGCGCGGGGCGGCATGGGCTCGGGCCACCGCCTCCGCCCGGCCGCCCGCCCGGACTGTCGCGGCCAGTCGTGGCGACGGCGGCGGCAGCAACAGCAAAGTTTCCCCGGTGGCGGCCCGGGGGCGCATCCTCCCGCAACTGTCAAGCGCTGGCGGCGGAAATGATGAGGCGCTGGCCATTTTCCGAGCCCGGGTTTCCTGCCTGAGCTCCGCTCGAGCGAGCCGCGAGCCAGGAGCCGGCGCGCGGGAGAGAACGCGCCCGCGGCGGGGGCCCGCCCGCCCCCTCGGGATCTCGGGGGGCCGGGGGCGCGCGACGCCATGGGCCGGCCGGGCCCGGACCCTCTCTCTCTCAGGTAAGCCCGCCTCTCCCGGCGCTCCCTCCTGTGGGGCTGGGAGGGCTTTAATGGGGGAGGAGGAGGCCCCCTGTCCGGTTCTGCCCGGTGTCTGCACACTCCCACCGCAGCCTGAAATACTGCCCTGCCTCTGTCCCGGATGGGGTGTTCAGGGGTGACCCTTCCCCAGCCCCTGCGACACTCTCCCCGCCGGCACCCCCACCCACACACGTGTTGGGGATGCAATAGGGGAAGGCACTGGGGAAGGCGCTGAGAGGGTATGGTTAATACCCCCAATCTACCTCCTCTTAAAGTAGCCGGGTCAGTCGAGAGCAGCAATCCCCCTCAACCTGTGCTTGGTGAGGAGGGGCTCTAGGGTCAGGTGCTTGGACCTTAAAAGTGAAAGTAGTCCACTGAGGCTATGAGGATGGAAGAGCCCTCCGGGAGCGGAGCCACCTGCCCCTCCCCACTCTCCCAGCCCAGGCCCTGTGGCTACGAGGGTATCTCTGGATCCTAGAAGCCCGTGAGTCCCCACGTCTCAGAGGCGAGTCAGGCCAGGTGCCCCCGAGCCACTGAGCCTGGAGTTTCACAGGGTTGGGAGTCTCACAGCTCAGGTCCCTTTGAGCTGGTTCCCTCACACCCAGACCTGGAGCTCAGGTGACTCCTCCCATCCAAAAAAAAAAAAAAAAAAAAAGGGATGGGGAGCGAAGGGGCCAGGGTCTTATAGGTCAGTGTGGCTGGAGGGTAATTTCAGAGGCCTTTAATGGCTGATCCAGAAATCCCCTCCCTCCCCTCCCTCTGCCCGGTGGGGGCTTTTGGGATGATGGGGACTGCATTTGAGGAACTGGGGAGGGGGGCCTGCCTGCCTCTCCTGCTTTTTTTTATTTCTTCTTCTTTAATTTCCTCATTCTCCTGTTTCTCTTCCCCATTCCCTGCCACGATGATGTAGGTGAGGAGGTCACTGCCTGCAGCTGGAGGCCTCCAGGGAGGGGCATGGCCAGGCCTGACTGAGTGGGAGGAAGTGAAATTGGGCTGCGGGTGGGGGCTTCGGAGCAGAGGGCCTGGCAAGATGATGTCTGTAGGGCCAAGGTCCAGCTTTGGGAGCAGGAGCGGCTGAGAGCTAACCCTCCCCCCTCCCCGCCTTGCCTGGGAGATGAGCACCCCCTGACACCCACCAGCTGCCAGGTCGGCCGGGGCAGTCAGCCCATCTTGCCTCCCTGTTTACAGTCCAGCTGCAGGGCCCCTGCCAGGCGATGGGCACACAGGTCTCTAGGGCTGAAGGCGCAAGTCCTGTCTGGATTTCCCATCACTGACCTGGCTGCCAGAGCGGAAACAGCTCCGGAGGCTCTCTGGGACCTGCGGGGGCCGGAGACCCAGCCCGAATGGGGGGAGAGCAGTCAGTGGCCGCCCGGGGGGTGGGGGTGGGGCTGGGGTCAGCAGATGAGAGGCCAGGGCCCGCTTGGGAAGTTGGAAGGGTTTTTCATGCACTTTTTCTGAGCCTATTCCCACAACCCTCCTCTGGGAGGGAAAACCCTTCTGAGCCAAAGGGTGAACATTCCTAGAACTTCTGTGGTCCCTGTGGGCCACAGAGGCAGCCAGCTGGGAAGGGGCTGGACTGAAGTACCAGCTGCTGGGGGCCAAGGACCTTCAGGGCCTCAGCAGTGGACGAGAACGGTCCTGGAGGCTTAGTGTGCATCCTCCCACCGCGTCTGTCCAGCTGAGTGCACAGGCAAGGGGCGCCTGGAAGCCTCAGCTCCCCCCGTGTGAAATGAATGGGATAATAACAGGTCTGTGGTAGGGATTTAATGAGCCAGTGTGCGAAAAGCACCTGCTACCTGGTGGAGAAGGTGTTCAGTTACAGGTGGTGGGGATGATTTTTCATCATTACCGTCATCAGCGTTATTGTTACTGGCTGTGGAATGTTTGTTCATCGACGTCCCTTGAGTACCGCCAGCATGTGCAGCTCTGGGGCTGCTGAGTCTTTGCGAGAAGAACCTGAAGACACAGGCGAGGATGAGGGGATGGTGCTTCTTGGCTATGAGGTCTTGCTTCACCGTCCCAGCCTCAGTTTCCTCATCTGTCAAGTGGGTGTGATAATAGTACGTCATACTCAGGGTCTTTGGAACCAGATGCGAGTGAATTCACAAAGTGGTTAGGACATTTTGATCAGGCGTAGTAGTAGTAAGAATGATGAGACTTGTTGTTTGTTGTGGGTGACAGCTTTGATTGTTTTCCTTCCTGATCCTCCCAACCCCCATTCCTGTGAAGCCTGGGCTTGATCCTCCTTTGATAGACGGGACTTTCTAATACAAATCAGATTCTGTAGAACCACTCCAGACCTAGCTGTAGCCCAGCGCGGTTCAACCTTTGGGTGCCCTTGGATATCTTGGTCCAGCAGTGCCACTCCAGGGCACCCTCCACCTCCCGGAGGGAGCCTCCCCAAGGGCAGAGGGGGCCAGGGACAGAGGAACTTGGAGGGACCTCCCAGTCCCAGGGCAGCCCACTTTGGCAGCGGGGGTGGGGGGTGGGGGAGAGGCACATAAGGCACTCAGTGCTGGCCTCACCTGATAATAATAGATGATGATATTAATATTAACTACGAGGCCTCTCCTGTTAGATTCCTACCTCTCCCTGGTAGCAGCATGGCCTTTGGAGCCAAATCTGGGTCCTGCCAACTTCTAGCTGTGAGGCCTAGGGCAAGTCACCTGACCTCTCTGGGCCTCATCTGCCCAATGGGGACCAAGAGTCCTGGCCTCTCCAGGGTAGGCTAATACATGGAGTGTATGAGTCTGGCATAGTGTAGGGACTTGAACTGTGTTGGCTGTCATTGCCTACGGCTGTGTGCCTCTGGGCTTGTCCCTTAACCTCTCTGAGCTCCAGTATCCTCCTCTATGACATGGGAGTACTAACGACTGTGTGGTAGAATTGTGTTGAGAAGTGGTACACATAACGCCTGACATGCAGGCAGTGCTCAGTAAGTGTGAGCTACTGCTATTCATGCCCCAGAGGGGGCTAGCATTTAATTGCCAGGTTTCCTGGGAAAATGGTCCCAAGGGGCTTCCCGGGTGTTCAGCATCTTCGGCTGGGCGGGGCAGGAAGCAGCTTCCATCTGGCAGATGTGAGAAGCCTGCCGTCGAGTCCAGAGGTGTAATACGCGTTTCTCGTTCCCAGCCAGACCCTGTTCCCAGCTACCCGCCCTCCCTGAGGAAACTGAGGCCGGCAGGCTGCCCAGGGGAAGTGACTCAGCTGGGGTCACTCGCTGAGTCAGGCCTAATTGGACCCAGGAGCCCTGCGCCCCAGTTCCCTGGCTTCCGGGGGCCTGCGGTCCCTTGGAAACTGGGCAGGTCCAAAGCCCGCAGCTGCACACCCGCTTGCTTGGGCCCTGACCCCGGGGCAGCCAGCGTTCCTCAGTCAGGGCTCCGCGGCCCCGGCGACTGCCACTGGGCTCCGCTCCTCAACCTGGGATTCTTCCCCCTCTGCAGGGCCGAGGGGCACTTCCCCAGGAGAGCAAGTCCTCCGGGGGTCCCCCGGCCCCGCCCCGACCGGAAACCCAGCAGCTGAGCAGATGGCCGGAAGATTTTTCCTCCCACGCCACCCTGTCAGGGGTCGGCAAGGGGGGCCGGGCTGCAGGCTTCCTCAGGGCCAGGCCTGGAGCCCCTGGGGGCCTGCCCGGATGTGGGCCCCCACCCCGGTTGGCTGGGGGCGGGGGGGAGGCTGCCACTGCGCCATGCGTCTCCAGGGAGGCCTGGGAGAGAGGAAGTCTATGCCCTGCTCACCGGGAGCTGACTCACAGGGTGCCTGACAAGGTGCTAGCCTTGGGGGGCTGGGGGACTGGAGACCCGACTGGGGGGAGGTGGTCACCGAAGAGGGCCTTCGGGCACGAATCTGCCCTGTGAGAGTCAGAGGACAGGTGTGGAGAAGGTGAGGAGCGCGGGAGGGGTTCGCTTCTGACCCTGAGAAGCAGCACCATTGCAGGGTGCGGGGCTCGCTGAGAGGCTTCCCCCACGTTACATTCTCACCCTTCTCTCCTCAGCTCAGGGGCAGTTAAAGGAAGTCACGTGCTGGATGAGGGGGTGGGGCTGGAGAGTCCTGCCCCTTCTTGGGGGGATAGTCCCTGGTTTTCTCCTGTGGTCTAGCTGGGTGTGCGTGCGTGTGCGTGTGTGTGTGTGTGTGTGTGGCCAGGGTGTCAGGCCTGGCATGGGGACAGAGGAAGCCAGAGGACATTTCCTGTTCTGGCAGACTGTGCCCGCCTGATAAATGTCCCTGGGCACTAGGTGACCCTGGAAGGGATGCATCAGGCCTCTACTGACTGCCTGATGATCTAGGGCAGAACCCACCTCTTAGCCTCCCCCTGGGCCTCAGAACCTTCACTCCCTACTTCCTAGGAGCTTCTTCACAGTCTAGACAGCCTGAATGGTGTGAGAGGGCAGTGGGCTGACTGCGAGGCTGGATGTGCTGGAATCCCTCCACCTCTCTGGGCTTCTTTGGGCAGTGGGTCTGGCCTGCTAGAGAAGTTGGGGCTATAGGTGGGGGAGACAGAAATGCTCACTGTGACCTGGAGTCAACCTGGAGTCCTCCCTGGAGGAGGTGTCTCCCTCTGAAGGTGTGAGACTTCCTGCCCAAACAGCTGTGAGCTGGGGGAGGGGTAAGCTCTGGACTGGCTCATTTTAACTTCATTTACCACAATGTAAACCATCCTCCCCCAGGCTTGGCAGGAGGGATTCCCACAGGTGGGTAAAGGCCTTCTCCGCACCTGAGCCTGATAATTAAACGGAAAATGTTAGCTTCCCCAGATTACATTATTACCCAGGGTGATTAGCTAGAGTACAGGCTGACGAGCCTCAGTCTCTGGGGCCATGGCTTAGAGTGGGCCCCACAGCTCACATTCCCTGCTTAGAGCCAGGATTCCCAGCTGCTTAGCACCTCATATCTCACTGACTTGGTAGAGGCTCGGGGGTCCCTTAGGATGGATATGTTTGAACGGGGACACCATGCTCCGGCTAAGGCTTTGAGGCCCTCAC